TTTATCATCAATCTATTTTAGTGTTGACTCCATTTACTAAGGTCCACCACTGTGTAATTTTTCCACTTTTTTCTCAATACTGGAACAGTTTTTCAAAATTGCAGTTTCTCAACTTGATCTCAAAAAGCGTAAATTAATTCTAATCTACAATGAGGATAATTTCTTTTAACCCATTGGTTTTTATTAGGATTACTTTAATTGCTATAGGGGTCAATCCCTAAATTAAAACTTAGGCACACCCACCACCATGGGTAACAACACCCCAGAAAAAAACCCTGACATCAGCAAAACCCTGCTGAACACCACCTGCAGGGTATAATCCTACCAAACACCATATATGTACCAGTATGCAAAAACTCTGTACGGTATTAGGTTCACCACATGTTATTTCACACAAAATATTGCCAACTGTAAAGCTCTGCTAATTTTATAAGGCCAGTAAGAGCTGACTGCAATGGAAGTACATGTTACCAACTAGAGTGAAATGTTTATTACCAAAGTATTAACAGGGCACTGAGTAAAATATTTTGGTTGGATCTGTAAACAAATTACTGGTATGTAGACAAAACAAAGTAGTTATGGCAATAAAGCTTGACAGGGGCTGCCAAGACAACAACAGGCCAAAAGCCAAAAAAGAATTTTCAACAAGTTCAGTGTTTGTCCTCTCCTCCACAGCGAATACATGCAGGAAGTGCAATAACTCAAGATACATGTACATACATGTACCTTGTACTTCTCCTTGAAGTATGGTTACAATTTTGAGTTTTGAACAATTCAAGAAAATACACTGACTTTAGACATTGTTATTCTGACATGATGAAACTAAACCTGAAACTAACCAATACGAAATGAGATCTTACTTCCACAGTCATACAGCACATGCAGACAGGTATTTAGAGTCAGGATTTGAAAAGTGATAAATATAAAGTTGAAAAATAGTAGAATATTTTGAAAATTAAAATTAGCTTCATTTGGCTTCCCTTTAATCAGATATAAGTACATGTACATGATGTGAATTACATGACATAAACCTTTCCTGAGACATGACAAAAATGGCCTGACAGAAACTCACCCCTTTACTGCCTTAATAAATTTCCTGCTCCATCAGTCAACCGTTCATCAGTATACCCCGTCGACCTGAATAGTGTCCTTTAATGACCACCAGATGAGTCACAAAGTGTTGGGTGGGCGTGGTCTATCTGCTGGCTCCCTCCAATGACAGCACAATGGTGTCAGTATAGACTAACACAGATGCGTTCCACCACAGTCCTGAAAAACAACAACAGAAAAACAACTGTAAACAACTGATTGTGGATGATTTACACACACATGTACCCTGTATTCAACCAAAAAGCTAATGTACCGTTATCCCCTTACTTCTCCAGAAACCCAACATTTCAGTCAGGAAGTTTATTAAAGGAAATACCAGTAATTTCCAACTATAAAACTTCACCAAGGTCATACCCATTTATGATGAATATATACCAAAGAAAGTGTGAGTGACCGGGTGTGAATTAGAACATATTTGTTTTCTTCGAGCATAAAGGGCTGAATGTACAGCTGTGGAATGGGCAGAGGAATGTGTAGTGGACGTTTCAGTGATACATGTAGCATACCCTTGTGGAGTGCACAGGGTATAGGAGATTCACTTCACATTGGTCTGGCGCAGGCTAGACACACTTTGTCTTTTTATAAAGATTGAATTCTTTTACTTCCATTGCCGCTGTTTCACCCGAATTTTATTCATGAATATACTAAGCATTATTTATTATTTTCTAAGCAAGTCAAAGACTTGGTTCAAACTGCAGCAGACCAGTTAGGTGCTGACAACCCCTCCTTGTCGGTCGTAAAAGCAACACTGTCCAGTACCATCAACAAGAGACAGAAGTTGATTCATGTGGCTGATTCCAGCATGTACGGTTGGGCCATGGTTAGGGAGTATGAGGAGCATCATCCGGCTGCACACCAAGATGATGACAAGATTACCCTTGCAGAAAATCAAGCCGCCAGAAAGATTAAGCAGAAGAGGGCAGCAGTCCATCAGGCTAAGAGGTTAAGAGCTCTTATAAACGTCCTGCTTCCACTTTTAATCCCTCTGAGCAGTCCAAACATTACGGTGCTCAGGTTACCATGCCTCAAGGTTTTGGAGGAGCGTGTTTTGTGTGCGGGAGCTTCTCTCGTTGGACGGCTACCTGCACCAAGCCTAAAGTGGATGTGCAAGCTAAAACCAGTTAAGTTCAATTCTGATGTTGTGTTGTATTCTGATAGTATTAATCAATCTCATGTTGTTGACAGTTACTATGCATATGAAGAAAACCCACCTAAAGTATTACAATTAAAAAGTCGCAAAGTTTAATTCTAGATACCATAATCCAGGTTGTGAAACAGTAGATGCTTTCACTGTGGACTGGAAAAAAGAAAACAATTGGGTTGTACCCCCAATTGCCTTGACACCCAGAGTTATCAAGCCCATGGAAAGTACCAAGGCCATTGGCACTTTGATTAACCCATGCTAGTTTTTGGCACCATACTGGCCGATCTTATTCCCAGATGGTTATAATGTAGGGAAACCATTACAACTAGCATATGAAATTCCTAGAAACTGGGATGTTAAGTTAATACAATATTACTCAAAGCGAAATACTTGGATTAAAGATTTCTCATATGTCTACATTTAAAATACCATATATGTACATGTAGTAATAATGACAGTTTTGTTGTCTCTGTGCGGATCATGACCGTTTTGTTGTCTCTGTGCAGACCATATGCAGCAATGATATTTGGGCTTCAAGTATGGAAGAGGAATCACCAGAATTGAGGCAGTTAGCAGCTCAGCTTCTGAGTGTAATGCTGGACTTAAGGGAGGAATAGGGAAGCTGTACTCGGGAGCTTGCTTACAGTGGTCAGATTGGGCTCGGGGTCTTGGAAAAAGCACATAAGTACAGACCCCTTTGAACATACATCTATATTTCACTTGTTTAAGTAAAAAGTGCAATTCCCCAACACCAATTGTTAAAGCTGTAACATCCACATCTTGGGCACACAAAACATCGGAATTGATGATCCCATGGTCTATTCATTTGCAAAGTTTACTCTAGAAGGCCTTAAACGATGGCTCTCTAAACCAATTGAAACGAAAAGGCTAGTACCTAGCTTCAGTTCTGAAGGAAATTATAGATTCTTACTTGTAAAATGCGAACAAAGAGACGGATCTTATAAGCTTGAGATCAGTTACGATGTGTCTTTCGGCATACACAGGTTTTTTCTGATTAAGTGAACTTGCTCATGTCAAGCTTTCTCACATTTCTGTGGTGGTCAGACTTTGACTCTAGGGCTCTCTCAGGTTTCTACACCACGCACTTTCTCACAAACCTCAAGTGTTCCTACTCGTTCAACAAAGTCCCGACATAATATTTAAATTGTTGTATTTTCTGTATAAAGTGGCCCTAGTGATTGTTCATGGTCACAATCATAAATTAACCATATCCTCATCAATATTAGTCTGCTACAATGGGTTCTAGTCCATATTTTGTACAGTGACGTACTTCACTGTGGCGTAAGTGACAATCTGCCTCTCTCTAGCAGGAGTTTGTTCTGTCAGAACATAAGCGTACTTTTGTCCTAAACGTTTTGCGAATTTTATCTTTCATTTATCGTTATACAAAGTTCTGGCCTGTTCACATTGACAGGTTTGTCTCGTAGTACGTGTTGGCCAAGTGTCAGTTCAAAAATTTGTCATTTTAACTGATTTGTTAGTTGCATTGTCATGAAAGTTTTGTGGAAAGTTTGACCACGTGACCTGTACACATGCACGAAGCATAACAACTGTTTCATGTTTGGACTCAATGACTATTACATATACTAAATTGTTTCATTGTGTGGTCTTTACACAGCTGAACTCTGTAGAGAGAGCAGGTTGCACCAGGCCCTTTTATCCTTTAGCCTATCCTTTAATTATCCTTTTATCATTTAATTATCCCTTTGCCCATTGGCTCTGCCATATCTTATGACTTACATTTTTATTCTTGCAATTATCACACTCACAGCATAAGCTTTTTTTTCATTACTGGTCAACTGGTCTATCAATCCATATCATTGTCAACTCCATTTATTACTATCCACAATTGTGTAAATTTTCTCAATTTCAATAATGGGACAGTCCTAAATTTGTCAATTTGATTTCAAATAGAACTAAACCAACTCTAACATACATGCACAGTGAGAATCATTCTTTGTGCCAGTTCTTGATCTTTATTTGGAGTATCTTAATTGCCAGAGAGATCAATCGCTAATTTAAAACTAAAGTGTACCCCACCACCATAGGGTATCACCACCCTATATGTAGCATGAACATAACATTTCTTTCATTTATGAGGGTTTTACTCTGTCAAGCACAACTGACCAGTACCAAGAGGGTAGATTAGTCATAAATAAGACAGATTTTAGGTATTGTCCAGTAGAATTGTTACAGAAATATATATCCGCAGCTAAAGTTTCTGAATCAGACGCCTTTATTTTTCATGCTCAGTCAAAAGTTAAAGGTGGGTACATATTGAGGGTATTAATCAGCCACACTCGGATTCAAGTGTAAGGGAAGTTATCCTTGAGGTTTTAGCCCTGTGTTTGTTGCAGATATTAAGAGTTTTGGCTTGCATAGCCTCCAATCCAAGGGGGCGACCACTGCTGCCCAAGTGGAAGTGCCAGACAGATTGTTTACAAGGCGCGGTTGGTAAAGGACAGGTATGTTGAAGATCCTTTGGAAGATCTGTTATCGATCTCTAAAGCTTTTGGTTTGTAAGGGTACATGTAGTTCTGCACGAGGGCAGCCCTGTTTGGGGTGTAGTTACAGTATATTGCATAGAACAGACCTACGTTTCTCATCCTTATATCAGGGTGAGTTTTTCATAGCCGGTGAGTGGCGGTGCCACTCAATGCAAAGACAAGGAAGTAATCTGATAAATGTATTGTCCAAGTACCGGTATAATGGTATTAATTTCAAAATCTGTTATTTTTATCAATGCTACGGATTGCAACTGGACACATCAATTTCACACCAAGAAATAGACTGACATGCCATGATAAAAAGTCACTTCTTTTTTGAGAAAGTTTGCTGGAAATGAAAGGACAGGCTCTCTGACCTTCAATTTACGCACATGTACATGTAGATGTTTCATTACCAGAGATCATCTGCATGTTTCCTTTAAACACTTGAGAAGCACTGGCCAGAACAAAAAGCATCGTCCAAGCAGTGTTTGTTCCCTGTCTAGATATATTAAGTTGCTGTTGTAAGCATGACAGAACTGAATCTCAATCAGGAGGGTCACTGAGCCTGCCAGATTTTGCCAGCAAACCACTACTTTTGCAAGAAAGTGAAACACATTAATGCTAAAAAGCAGGGTTGGCTACTTATTTGATTCAAATAATAATAATAATTTTAGAAATCATTTTTTTTAAAATAAATCAGATTTTCTTTTTCTTTTACTTACAAATGTTACGTATGCCGCAACATTTTCAGAAATACATCCACACACCCTTAAATACGGTACCCATCAACAAGGAGCTTTCAGGTTTCTGTATCAATTACCTGATAAAAATAATTCAGTGTTTAGAAATTTCCAGAAAACAATTCTTAAAAATTAGTAATCATATGCATCTTTGACAAAAAACACTGCTGCATATGATGTCACCCTGAAGGTACAAGTCATAGCATGGAAAATTCCCCTGGCAACAATAACATATTACAGTACCCAGTATCTTAATACATTACTTTTGAAGATGACGTATGGTCTCACCACGATCAGACATGCTCACACAGTCACTCCATATGCAGAGTAGCACCGGTCTAGGTGCAGGGTTGGCAACGACACATGTAATGCCGCGAATACACTTTTACACATAAACAAGAAGGAATGTATAAATTTAAGAAATGGTAAGGAACTTCATAATGATTTGTCGTCGGTCCCACAGGAAGTCCATTTGACCTCTGCACTGCGGACAGCAGCATTGTCCTGGGCAGTTGAACAGATTTTGAAACCAATGTGTATGGCAGCTAGGGCTGACCTGTAGATACATTACGAGTCGTAGCTCTGAGTGAAAGAAGCACATAAGGAAGGCTGTTATAGCACTCACAGCAGTGTTAGCTGGAACCTATCAATAAACATGCTACAATCTGCTGCCACAAATTTGAAAGGTGGACAGATGACGTCCCATGCAGCCATGGCTGTAGTGTTGCTAGAACGTCTCGCTGAAGAGGAAGATCATGGGAAGTT